CCCACAAGCCACTACCCACTACTCACTACCCACTACCCCCCATTCATTACCCAAATACTCACTACTCACTACTCACTACGCACCACTCAGTAATCACGAACCACTACTCACGAATCACTACGCACTACTCACTAATCACTACTCACGAACGACTACTCCCTGAACACTACGAACTACTCATTACTCACTACTCACTACTACCGACTCTCGACCCGCTACTCGCTACCAAGTACAACTACTCACTACTCACTACCCGCTACTCAACACTCACCCCCCGCTGTGCACTACCCACTGATAACCACCCAATATTCAGCACCCACTGGTCCCTACACTCTGACATATACCCACCACTCACTTCTCAATACTCAGTATTCACAACTCACGACCCACTACCCACAGCTGAGTACCCACTTCTGACAAATATCTGCCCTTCTCTCGCTACTCGCTACCATATACTTCACTGGTCATTACCCATGATCCACTACTCAGTACCCACTTCGCGCTCCTAACCACTTTCTACTCCCTACTCCATACCCCAAACTCCTTACCCAGTACTCACTACTCACTACTCGCTACTCACTACTCAAAACTCAGCACTCACCACTCCCGATTCAACTACCCATTCCTCACTACACACTACGTACTACTGGCTACCCCCTACTCACTAAGCACTACCCACCACTCACTACTCACTGCTCAGCACCCACCACCCACCACCCATTACTCACCACCCACCACTCACCGTTCACTGCGCCTACTCACTACCAACTACCAGCTACTCGAGACTCAATACACCTTACCGCGTACTCTGTAAATTACTACCCGCTACTCATTTTCCTCTTCCCACTACGCACTATTCACTACTCACTTGTCTCTTTTCTCCTCGCACGACACATTACTCACTAACTACGACGCTCTACCCATTACAGGCTGCTCACTATCGACTACCCACTACCCACTTCTCACTACTCACTCTTCACGAACCCCTACTCCATGCACACTACCCCCACCCACTACCCACAACTCGCTTCTCACTGCTCACTACTCGCTTCTCACTACTCACTACTCCAGATTCACCACTCACTGCACACTACACACTACTCACTATTCACTCCCCACTACTCACGACTTACTGCTCACTACCCACTACTTACTACCCAGTACTCATTTCTCCCTACTCCCTCCTCACTACTCACTACTCCCTTCGCATTTCTAACTACCCACTACTGAAAACGCGCCTACCCAGCACCCACTACTCACTACTCAGCACACACTACTCACTACTGGCTGCGCACCACCCATTACAAACTACCCACTACTCACTACTCACGACCCAATACTCACTACTCACTACGCATGAGCCACGCCTGAGAACTCACTACCCACTACCTTCTACCCACTTGTCTCTTCTCTCCTCTCACTACTCACTACTCACTACTCACGCCTCCATTTCCGCTAGTCTTCTCTGTCCTCTCACTACGTACCACCCACTACTCACAAACCACTACTCACTACTCACTGTTTACCACCCACTACGCACTACCCACTTCCCATCACTTCCTCCTCACGACTCACTATCCCCTACCCACTACTCGCCACTCAAAACTCCTTACTCGCTATGCACCACTAACTTATCATTATTTTACTCACGATTCAATACACACGTACTCACTAGCCACTACACAAATTACTCAGTCAATCTACGCGCTTCGCACCACACACTGCTCACTGCGCACTACCCACTACCAATTATCCACTCCTCACTACTCACTACCGGCTACCCTGTATGCTCACAACCCGCAACTCACTACCCACTACCAACTACTCACTATCCACTTCTCACAAAACTCAACTTTCCTCCCGCGACTCACTACTCACTACTCTCGACGCACTACTCACTACGCACTACCCACTACTCACTACCCACTCCTCACTACTCACTACTCACTACCCACTACTCCCTACTCACTACTCGCTACACCCTGGCACACAAACCAGATAACCGCAAACCGAACCCTAGCATCATGACCCTAACAAAAGAGTAGCGCACACACCAACACGCATTAACACACGATCGCACGAACACACGCGCACACACACACACACGCCCAGCCCCAACCCCAACCACCAAAACCTAACGCACGAACGCCAGCACACTAACCTTAACACGCACAACCCGAACACACGGGACCGCACACCTGAACCCGAAACCTAACGTCCAGACCTCGCCCTGACACCCTGACCCTACTTCCTAGCGCACGTTGCCCTGGCCCATCATCCCTTACCCGAACACCTTCACCCTAACGCTTGAATCTAAACGTAACGCCCCAGGCCGAGCACTCTCTCTGACACTACAAGCCGGCCCCATGCGCTCCAATCCTGCCTCGTCCACCCCAACCCTAACACCCTGACCCTAACACCCTAACAGTAACAGACTCACCCTGGTACCCGCGCCGCCACACCCAAGGCAGAACCCGAGTCTACGAGCCCGAACTCAGGAGCCAGAGCGCCATAACCCTGACACCCTACCTCTCACGCTCGACCTCTACTACCCCTAACGCCAAAATCCGAACAACTGCGCCGACCGCCCTGACCCTAACTCCCGACCCCTTGCCACCTTCGCCCTCGAGAGAATACCGCAAGCCTAACCCACGCGCTAACGCTCCAACCCGAACGACCTAACCGTAGGAGCCGAACGCACGCACGCACCCTGACCCTCGCACGACCAACGCCCCGACCCTGCCGCCCGAAACCCAACGTCCTCGCCAGGACTCGCACGCCCTGAACCCAGCTCTCACACACCAATCCCAACATCGCTACCTCCATCACACTGACACCGTGCACCACATACCCTATACCTAATTCGAACGCCCTACCCCAAACGCCCTGAGCCTCGCCGTAAACCGAGCGCACTAACCCTTACACCCGAACCCTTAGAACCCACACCTAACCCTAACGCACTATCCTGAACACCCTTACCCTAACACACTAGCCCCAACCCTAACCCCCGCAACAGTAACAACTCCTCCTCCGCCTCCCCCTCTTCCCCCTCCCCCTTCTCGAAGCCTGCGTGAGGCCAGCTCCGGAAAGACTCGAAATATCCAGACACCAGACCCCCCCCCCCCTTGCGGGCGAGGCCTCCTCCCCAGCCCCCTGTTCGGCGCAAAGGGGGAGAGGGGGGGGGGGTTCGAACCCCGCCCCCCTTTCCAGCGCCAAGGGGGGGAGGGGGGGGGGTCCGGAACCCCTCCCCCCCCTTCAAGGGAGGGGGGGGGCGGGGGGTTCGGACCCCCCCCCCTTAAGGGAGGGGGGGGGGGGGCGCAAATCTCACCCCCCCCATTTGAAGGGGGGGAGGGGGGGGGTTCTGCGAGCACACCCTCCCTTCTGTGTATTCAGGGACATCCACTGGCGCGCTTTCATACTTAAGGCTTCTTCCCTGCTTCATTTTCTCTGCGTTCCCTCGTCCTCCTCCTCCTACCTTCCTGCCTCGTACTCCTCCTCGCCTCCTCCTTCGGCATCCGCCCGGCCGGAGCCGGGCGGAAACCGCGACAGTGCCACTGTCCTTGAGCGATATGTGTCTCCTCTCGTCCCTTCGTCGACGCATTCCCTGGCCTCCGCCTCCGTCAGCGTCTTCCCTGACGTGTCTCATCCCCCCCCACCAGGCTCCCGCACGTCTGCGGTCTCGGCGGTCCCTGCACCTCCCCCAAGGCTTCGCCCAGCCTGGCCCTTCAAGACGCCGCGGCGGCGTCCAGCGCCCCCTCGGCTGCGGCCTCCTCCTTCTCAGCCTCCCCCCTCGCTCCCCACCGGCCCAGCAGCGGCAGCCTGGCTGCCTTGCGCGCCTTCGCGGCTCTCCGGGACGCTACCCTCTGCTGTCTCTTCGGGCCCTGCTCTATGTACGCCTGCCGCGCCCCTGCTGGCCACATGCCGTGCGCATCCCTGAATTACCCCCATCTCTTCGCAGGGCGGCTCAAGGTTTCTAGTCGCGACGATACCCGAATCGCAGTGTACCATCGAGGTGAGACACCCTCCCGCCCACTCGGAGCACCTCAACCATGCTGGCCTCGCGTTGCACGTGAGATTGCGCAAGGACTCCAAATCGGTTGAAGCGACATCTGTGCCCCCCATGTCAAAACTCTGTACCTTCTGTTCCAGGAGGGGGCTCCCGAGCTGCCACTCCTCATCGCCACACCAAACTACCACACCCATCGGCGGCGCGCCCGGGGAGGAAGTGAGGGGGGGCGGGCCTTCTCAGGAGGCTCGGAACTCGTCCAGCCCTCGAAGGAGTCTCCTGGGCCCTCCCCGAAGACGCCGCGAACTTATCGCAAGGCCGGGGGGCTTCTGAGCAACCCCGCCGCCTTCCAAAAAGGCCTCCTCGGGGACGCACTGACCTGGGTCAATGCAAACCTGGGTCAGTCAGGCCTTGCAAGATCCTGCAGGCTCCTGCCTGCAGCATCCTGCGCCCTAACCCGGGTCAGTGCAGCCCCGGCTCTGGCGCTCTGGCTCACTGCCGTTTGCACTGACCCCTGCCTCAAGGCTTCCGACCTCCTCATTTTCACTCCCCCCTGGCCTCCTCCTTCTGCAAGGGCGCCTAGCTTCACGCTTCGCGCTGCGCGAAGCGCGAACAACTTCGCGCTGTCGCGCAGCCCCCCAAGGAAAAGAGGAGGATGAGAGATTGGAGCCGAAGCGCGAAGCGCGGTAACCTTGCGCCCTGGAGGGCTTGATCTCACTCCCCCCCTTGGCTCGCCGCCGAGCTCCATTGCCCTCGCTCCTCCCTCCCCAGACCCCCGACGTCATGATTTTATAACGTCGACCCTCAGAGGTCTCGACCCATTCCCCTGGACCGGTTTTTCATCCTGAGTCGTGTTTGGACGGTCCAGAGGCCCGGTGAGGGCCTCCAGAGGCCGAAAACATTGAAAGACCTCCTGTCACGATTTTTTCATCGCCGTAGGGGGTCTAGGTCCCCTGCCCTGCCTCTCAAGCCCCAGCGTCCCGCCCCCGCCCTCCGAGTGCTCGGTGGGGCCATCGGGCACGGCGGCGGGGGGCACGGGCTGCGCGCAGGGCGGGGAGAAGTACCTCGGGAGGGAAGGCCACGCGCCAGCAGGAGGGATCCGCAGGAAGGACGCGAGGGGGGGAATGAGAAGGGGAAGGCCTTCTCAGAAGGCGGCGGGGCTTCTCAGAAGGCCTCAGGCCTACCGAAAGGCTTGTGCTGTGTCTTCGAGGAAGGCTTGGATAACTTATCCGAAGGCTGGGGGACGTCCGACCCTTCTGAGAAGGGCCGCCCCTTCTCGCTTCCTCCCCTCGCTCGCTGTCGACAGGAGAAAGGGGTCCTGGATACTGAAGCTTCTTCGCCACAGTGGTCGGGCCCGTCTGAGATCGGCTCGGGATGAAGAGGGACGCCCAGGGTTCTAGGGCCCAATTCCCTCAGGGCTCCTCCCCTTCATGGCGAGCGCCGAGCGAGAGGGGCCGGGAAGAGGGGGTCCGTGCGGTCCCTGGGCCCGACTCCGGAGCGGTAGACAGAGCCATGTTCCGGCGGTGGAATCGCACGGGAAAAACTGGGGCGCAGCGTCCCCAGGCGTGAGTGAGTGGCGCACTGCCAGTCTGTGTTGACAGCATCCTTGCGATCTCGTGAACCCAATCATCGGGGAGCCTGGCCGTCCACCGAAACTGGACCGACAACTTCACCAAATCCGAAGCGTCCCCGCGAAAAAAACCGTCAATACAATCACTGGTTAGAAACGACTTGATTCGAGCATGTGTCACGATTTTTCTCACGAAGCTTGGACGCTTGAACAAAAAAAGATAGGCACTGGCTCAGCAAGTGCGCGTCCTGCGCCAGCGTTAGTCACTGCGGTGATGTAGTATCGAGATGTATGTGCAGAACTGCCCTGCTGTCAGCATGCAAGTCAAAGACCCTAATTGTCAGCCCGGTCACCCCGATCCACCTGGTCATCCTGCTTCCCCTTCTCGCTGCTCCTCAACCCATCGCTGCTTACGCTTGTGTGTACCATGTGTCCCTCATCCCATTCCTGCTGGCTGCTCCCTGCTCATTGCCCCCTGATTGCTGCCCGCTGCTTTCTGTTCCTTACTGTGTGATGCCTGTCGGTGGCCCGTACCCCTCCTCAAGCAACGACAAGGCTGTGAAGGACGAGGACATCCTGGAAATGAAGGATCGATGTGGACGGGGTGCAAACAGATGGGAACGAAGGTGGGACGAGGCGAGACCACGCCGACAAAGAAGAGGGTCGTGACGGCGTGGGTGCAGAAATGAGGAAACGTGAGCAGGGAGGAAAACGGGGGAAGGAGGACGACCAGTGAGTGTGGCGGTGGGGCGGGAGCCGCACCCTGAGGACCACCCGTGCTTCATCTGTGCAATCGTTCGCGGACCCTGGCTAGCTTCGTGGCCGTGCGTTGCGGATACGTTTCGAGCAAATCGCTGTCCGCCTTATCAAGGCGCCTGGTGGTACGACGAGATGAGTGTTTGTAAGATGGGGCGGAAGAGGGGGGGGGGGACAGGTTGACCAGAGGAAACTCGAGGGGCAATACAGCAGGAAGCTTCAACGGCACACTGAAATTAACGCGTGCCTCCTCCAGGGTTGGTTGCTCTGCTTCAGCCCAGCATGAGTGACCAACGCCCAATTTGCCTGTTGCCTTTCCCTGAGCGCCGCGCGCATGCGTCGGAAACGTTTCCAGCCCCTACACACGGACGGATGGCAGGTCGCTTCCAGAGTATGGCTCTCGCCTCTGCTATCTGGGGAGCCACCGCCGCTGTGTCGGCGCCCCGCAGAGCGGCCTGCCTCAGCGTGACGAGCATCACTGGTGACACGAGTGACACCACCCTGGCCGTCCTCGATGAGCACTGCTCCACATGAGAATGATGTGGAAGGACTCTCTCCGCGACGTGGGGCTGGCGTGGCCGGCGCGGGGGGGCGGGGGCGGTCGGCGCACCCAGCCTTCCACGAAAGGCGGGAGCGCGAGATCCCAGCACGCAAGACGGGGTGGGCACGGAAGTACTCCGCAGGGCCCTCTAATGGACCGTCCAAGGTCCGCGCGCCCTTCGTTCGGCCGGCACTTCCGGCGAGGCACCGTGCACCTCCCAACGGTCTACGCATCATTCTGGCAACGTACCAAGGAGTGCGCGACTGCAGAATGACCATAACCTCTTTTTCCTCCCTCTACACCTCCGATGAAGATGGCGGCGCCGACCGCGCCAGTCCGCCGCCTGCCCAAAGCCGTGTCCAGCTGCGCGCCCAAGTGCCCGTCAAGCCAGCCCCAGAGCTGGGCCTTCTGCGGCAACTCATAGGGGCCTCTCATACCATCTTGTGGGCGCGTGCGAATCGACGCCAATCTACTGCCGCTCGTCCTAAATATGCCCTGGACGTTATGTCCAAAGCCTCCTGCATTGGGTTCTCGTTTTGAGTAGAGCACTGGGGTCGCGTCTGCTCTGCCACCTTCTTCTCCTCGTTTCTCCCTTCGTCTCTTCCCTCCTCCTCTCCACTCTTGCCCTCCCCTCTTCCTCCTCTCCTCGCTCCTCCTCGTGTGTCCTGCCTTTTACCTGGCTTGCCCGCGTAACCCCTGGGGGGCTGCGATCAGCGAAACTGTCGCCACTTTCGAGGGCTGCTGGGGGGCCAGCATAGTGCGTACCAGACGCAGATTCATATTAGACCTCGCCATCCTTGGGGGGATGCGATCTGCGACGCTGTCATTATTCTCGAGGGCTGCTGGGGGGGCAGCATACTGGGTACCAGACGCAGATCCAGATTAGACCTCGCCAACCTGGGGGGTGCTGCGATCTCCGAAACTGTCGCCACTCTCGAGGGCTGTTGGGGGGGGCAGCATACTGGGTACGAGAGGCAGATTCAGATTAGACCTCGCCATCACTTGGAGGCCGCGATCTGCGAAACAGTCACCACTTTCGAGTGCTGCTGGAGGACGACAGCGACTTTCGAGGGTTGCTAGGGGGCCAGCATAGTGTGTAATGTTCGAAAACGGCTAACACAACAAAAATTGGGGGGCAGTTTAAGAAATAGTTATTCCCAGCGCTGTAGTGCGCATCTAGAAAACAAAAAGAAGACGGGGCAAACCGAACCGCCGGGGGCGTACCCGCGACCGCCCTGGCGTGAACAGAAACCGCACTCGGGGGCCATCCCTTGCGCACCCCTTCTAATGCCGAGAGAGCCCCAGAGGGGCTCCAAGATAAACCCAGGTGCTTTAAAATGGCCTCCAAGATGGCGCAAGATGGTCCAAGCTGGCTCAAGATGGCCTCTAAGATGCTTCCAAGTGGCCCCATGATGGCCCCAAGACGGGTCCAAGTGGCCGCGGAGACTCCCAAGGAGGCCCCCAATATGCCAGAATCTTACCATCACCTAAAGGACATTAATGATTTGGGCGTTCTCACCCTTTCCCTTCCGATGGGCTCCCGAGGCCTCAAGATGGCTCCAAGATGGCCCAAGAGGGCCCCAAGAGAGGCCCAAGATGGTCCTACGACTGCCCCAAGAGCGCCCAAGAGCGCCACAAAAACGCCACGAGAGGGCCCCAAGAGGCGACTTTGAGGGCTCCGGATGGGCGACCCTACTGAATGACCTCCCCTCTCTGATCGATATCCTCCAAAAGGGTCCCTCGAAGGCCTCGAATGCAATCGCATGGTTCGGTCTCCGTAGGATATTTTCCACGAGGAACAATGAAACATTTTTCCAGAGGCGAACTAATGGCAGTCGGGATCCGGGGGGGGGAGGGGCGGTTATCATTTTTAGCAGATTTTGGACATTACCAGATGCAGATTCATATTAGCCCTCGCCATCTGTGGGGGGGTTTCGATCTGCGAAGCTGTCGCCATTCTTGAGGGCTGCTGGGGGGGCAGCATCGCGGGTAGTTATAAGGCGCAGATCCAGATTAGACCTCGCCATCCCTGGGGTGATGCGATCTCCGAAACTGCCGCCACTCTCAAAGGCTGCTGGGGGGAGCAGCATACTGGGTGCCAGACGCAGATTCGACCTCGCCATCAATTGGAGGCCGCGAACTGCGAAACTGTCGCCAATTTCGAGGGCTGCGGGGGGCCCAGTACCAGTACAGTGGGTACCAGACGCAGATCCAGATTAGACCTCGCCATCTTGGAGGGGCTGCGACTTGCAAACTGTCGCCACTTTCGAGGGCTGCTGGGGTGGCCAGCATAATGGGTACCAGACACAGATTCAGATTGAACCTCGCCATCCCTGGGAGGCTGCGATCTGCGAAACGTTCGCCCCCCTCGAGGGCTGCTGCGGGGCCAGCATAGTGGGCACCAGACGCAGATTCAGATTAGAGCGCAGATTCAAATTATATCTCGCCATCCCTGGCGGGCTGCGAATTTCGACGCTGTCTCCACATTCTCGAGGGCTGTGGGGGGCCAGCATCGCGGGGGGTCAGCATCGTGGGGCCCCCATCCTCGTCCTTTCGACCGTTGTCCTGTGAGTCGTGCAACGTATGCGCAACACACCACCGCGTCTGCACTGTTGTTGTTCATGCTAATATAGGCCTCCGTCTCTTGTTACTTGATGCAAATGGGTTGGGTACGTCACAGGATAATTGTAATACATGTTGTACTCGGCGTCTTGGACATTAGTTTGTTGTGCGATTGTAGGTCCTGGCCAGGCCAAACTAACAACACTAGAAAACTGGTTGCTGCTTGTTGCTGTTGCAAGTATGTTAAAGAGTTGACTGCGCAGATCAGTAGTGTCATCTACGTCGTCCTCAATTCCTTCTCCTTGCGTCTAGTCCTCCCTAGCATGCGGTTGTTGTGTTCCTCTTGCTCTTTTCTGACCGCTGTTGCTGGCCGGGGGCCTCTGGGCCTGTCTCGCGCCGGCGTCTGTGTGGATCCTAACACCGCGGGGATCGTTCAACCTTGAATGATCGGCCGTCTCTGAAACGTCAGATCGTTCAACATCGACCGATTCTGAGTCGCCGGCGGTGCTCAACGTGTTGAACGCCCGTGGCGGGGTTGCCGCCGGTCGGCACGACGCGAACCTGCCGTAGAACTGCGCGCGATGCGGGAGGAACGGGAGGCGGGAGCGAAGACGGCAGGGAGGACAAGGAGCAGCCTTCGACAGGATAGCAAAACACACCCGAAATGTACGACCGACAACGACGGGCCCAAAACGGCCTCACCCAGCCGCATGAAACGCACGTTAAACGTGTAGCATTGTCTTATCGTTTTTAGTTTGGCAATGGCCAACAATACAAGCGGTAAAACAAGCCCAAAACGTTTTTGAGGTCTACGTGAAACCGCCGCCAATCGACGCGGGTCGACGCTAATCGATGCGAATTTGGTACTAGATCATCGCCTAACCCAGACGCTAATCGACACCAGTGCGCTCTCGAGACGGAAATGCGACGGGATGCGAACTCCCATGACTCGGTACCGAGCTCAGCCCGCCGGAAACCGCGCCTCAAGCGTCAGCGCGCACAACTCAGGGGGCCCGTCGGCCCGCCGAGCCGATGGCCTGGCCCGAGCTTGACGGGCAACGATACGGGGGGGGGGGCTGGCAGGGGGAGGCAAACACCGACCTGGAAGCGGTGATACATCGCCGATAGCTGCATCAGCGATAAGCCCCCGATGGCGAATCCGAACATTCCTAGGCGGGGCAGGGCTCGTGGACCCCTACCGGCGATCACTGGGCGATTGGGGGTCGACGCGTCCACCCTGATTATGCCTACGCTCCCCTATCGTTGTGCCTGACAGTCGGTGCCGAGCGCGTTGAGCATTCGCTCCAAAATCCCGCTCTGTGCATGCCCGTGTTGCAGGCCGGTGGCATCGAAGGATCTCCTGACCTCAATACAAAACCGGGCTAGTCCAGCTTTGCAGGCCCCTGCTGGATCCTAAGCGCTAGCCCGGGTCAATACAACCCCCGGCCTGCAAGATCATGCAAGATCCGGCGCTCCCGCTGACCCCCGTTAGCATTTGACCCCCGTCAATTGAATCAGCATGGGGGAAGCGGGACCTGAGGGAAACGTGTCCTGGCAACCGCGGCCATTTCCCCAGGACGAGATATTCATCCAGAGTTGTTTCTCGACAGTCCCAGGGCCCGTGGGGGGCCCCGAGAGCACGAACACGGCGGAAAACCTCAGGACCCGCGCTCCAGCGCTGCCGATCCCGGCAGCAGAACAGCAAAACGGCGCCAGCAGGCAGCAGCGGGTGGTGGTGCCTCCAGGCTGCGGCGGGCCGACGTCAGTCCCTCCTCCAGCTGCTCCTCGCCGTCAAGGTTCGGGGAAACATGGCGTGGCCTGGCATGCGTACTGGAAGATCGGCGCACCTCAACCTCAACATTTCGGGCGGTCGCGGTCTCCTCCAATTCCTCTTCGTCCTCCCCCTCCTCCAGGGGCGGCAGCTGTCCTGCCAAGGGAAGGCCGCCGTCTTGACGGCCGTCTCCTGCGTGGCCGCGAGAAAGCGTGAGCGGGTGCGCACGCCCGGGAAAAAGGGAACGAAGGGCAGCGAGGATGACCGGGAGAGGAGGGGAGGTAGAGGGAAGCTCATGTTCCGACATCCTCTCCTCCCGGGGGGTCAAACCCTTTTCTTTTTTGCTCGCGAGCGACGCGGACAGCCGCGAGCCGTCAAACAGGTCGTGAAAGCGCAAGCCAGACGCAGGCAGAACGCGGAAAAGGGCCACAACGGTGGCGAGGACTACGCAAGGCAAGCCAAACGAAAGAGAGACACACAGAAGAGACAAACCAAACCCTTTTCGCGAACGCCCCGAAAAACGGAATCGAACAGAGGTTCGAGTCTTCCCCTTTCGTCTCCTTCTAGCCCCATCCCTAGTCGGGGATGAATGGGCGAGCGGGGTCCATGCCTCCCCCCTGGGGCCGCCAGGGCAGCGCTGAAGCGGGCCAGGCGAGGGGATTTGTTAGTGGGCCGTGGGCCTCGCGCTGACTAGGCGCGCTCCTGATTGGCTCCGCCAAAGCGGTCGCTACGGAGGGATATTCCGCAAACGTCGCCTGATCGCGCATCGATCTGAATCCCACTCCTGCCGCCACCCCTGGGATTCTCTGGACACGCGAGGAAGGAGAAACCGAAGAGGTCCTCGTTCTTGCGGGATGAGTGGAAGAACTCTCACCATGTGCGTTTATGGGCAAACGGTTGGTTCCTCGGCAACACGCGGTACAGCGGCTTTCACCTGATGTCTTAGATAACTGGTTGATTCCTCCGCAAAAACAGACAAACAGTGAAGGTGTCCACTGGCACGACGTGGATGCGCCCAGGCGGTGGGCGGATGGGCAAGTGCACCACCAGGCTCCCCCCATTGTCACTGCTGCCAGGGTACTAAGAGAACAACGCGGAATCGGAATTGAGTACGTGTCTGAGGATTGCCCACCCAATCGCCGCACAGCACCTGCCACGCGAACGATGCGTACGAATCAGAAACGTACCAGGCGAAAAAACAACACAAAAGCCGTGTAAGCATAGTGGAGCAATGAAACATAATTCAATCCCCACAACCACAATCATCAACCCAAAATACCAGCACACTCGAAGATCCTACGGCGAAACGAGAACTGCACCACCAATCAACTTTAAAGAAACTTATGCGCACCACGCTGATTGATGTCTGCCCAAGGCTTTGTCGTTGCTCGCCGACAAAAAATCCGACAGTGCACTTCCGCCGGACGCCAATCCTGATGCCGTCCAAACCGCCACCGGATTGGACGCCAATCCTGATGCCTCCAATCCGATGATTCACAACGCCATCGCTATAAAACCAAGATGTTTACGGAAACGCTTCGAACCGATGCTTGGGTCGCTACGGAGGGGGGGGGGCGAGATTGGAAAGGGGGGCAGAGTAAGATCGAGGGTTTGTTGCTGCGGACGACGCCACAAACGACTGCGCGCAGGCTGCGGGAAAATAAAATTAGAGGACGCCTCAGAAACTGATGACCTGCTGGCCCTGCAGCGACGTGACGAGAAGCCACGCTGGCGGAACAGAAACAGGGAAAAAGCATCGAAATATATGATCCCGCTCGTGGTGTGGCTCGCGACGCAGAAGCATTCAGGACCCCGAGAATCTCTGACAACAGTTGGAGTGAGATTGAGGGGCGAGGGAGGAGGGGAGGGACGGGGGACGACAAAAGAGGGGGGGGGGCATGGACCGACACGCTCCCCGAGCGTGGAGCACGCGTCCGACCGCTCCCCCCCCGGACGGGGTCCTGGCCCAGCGCTGGCAGCGCCTAGCACGGGAAAGGCTGGGCTTGGAGTCCGTGGGGCGGGAGAGGATGCGGAAGGCTCGTGCCCTGACTGATTGCGCGTTGGTTTCTGAAGCCGCGCGGGTCGATCAACCTTGAACAATCGGCATAGTGAGGATGAGCAACGTTCCAATGTTAACCTTGCCTCCTTCACATTCGGCCCATCCTTGGCCGCTTTCACTGGCCGCATCCCGCTCGCAAAGCGTCGGCATGGCCTACCAAGACCCTTGCATCCTCATCGTGCGTCCTTACAATACAGCTTCCCTAAGCCGCAGCAGATCGTCCAAGGTTGGCCGATTCCGGACCATCGTCGGCTCGGGGATCTTCTGACCCGGATCAATCCAGACCAAAGTCAGTCAGGCCTTGCAAGATCCTGCAAGATCCTGCACCCAAACCTGGGTCAGTGCGAAGAATCCTGCAAAATCCTGCGGAATCCTGCGCCCAAACCCGGGTCAGTGCGCCCCTGGCCCTGCGGGATCCTGCAAGATCTGGCGCCCTGGCTGACCCCCGTTTGCATTGACCCCCGTCTCAAGGCTCCTGATCGGCGCTGAAGTTTGAGCGCCCGGACCAAACGTCACCACCGCATCGGCACGGCACGAGCCTGCCGTACAGGCAAGGTCTTGCCACAAGCAAGCCGACATCAGGCAGGAAGTCTCGTTCCAAGTTCGGGGCCCCACCAGCGCCGAGGTTCACGAGGTGCGCCACGGAAAACGCTCAAGGAGAGGGCCAAGGAACCCCGGGCTTCTTCCGAAACGAAGATGGTCCGAGATGGTCAGATACTCCTCGCACTCCTCCTCTTGTCAAGAGGCTGCAGGCCGTCCCTGGCCAGCCAGTATACCGGGAAGCGACAGTGCAGTGAGGGTACGCAGTGCGGGTGAGCGGTGGCCAGGACTGGACCAGCGACAGACTGGGGCTTGGGGTTTGGTAGTTGCACGGTTGGACCCGAAGGCAGATGTAGTGGAAGGGGCTGGGTCATATGTGGGATCATGCTGAAGGAGGGCCGAGACAAGAACACAAACAGGTAGACGAAGAGAGGATGATAAGGACAGAAGCGGAAACAGGGGCAAACCCCCGCTTCCCCATTGTCATGTCCATCATCACCGTCTTCATCATCGCAAACACCAACACCTTAACAATCATCACTATCGCCACACACCTTAACAATCATCACTATCGCCACTGTCACCACGATCGTGACCATAGCCAACACGATCACAATACATTACCACAACCGCAATCAGAATCGTCATCATTCACACCGTCATCTGTGTCGTCAAGGTTCCGGGAATCAGAAAGAAACTGGCCGAAGAAAACACCCACATGTAGCTGCGAATACCACAGAGGCGATGAGACGACGGAGGTGTGCGAACAAACTGCGAGTAACGTGGAGCAAAGCCCCTTTCACTAATGGGCAGCGCGCGGCAAGAGGAAGCAAAGACTGCCGCACGAGCTCCCTGTTGGGTCACGAAGCGTGTGAGAGGTGAACCGAAATAGCAAGGGGACGCGAATCCTGCCTCATGCGCCTTACATGGGGCCACGAAGCGTGTGAGGGTTATGCCGGGATCGGCCTGGAGTGGAGTTCTCCACGGGGGTGCGAAGCGTGTAAGGGGGGTCTGGGGACGGTGAGCCCTGTCGCGGGATCTTTCCGTGGAGTTCCCTACGGAGTCGCAATCAATGCAACGGGCCGACCAAAAGAACAAGGTGACGCATATGAGCCCTGCCACTGGGGCCTTCGGTGGAGCTCCTTATGGGGTCACGTAGGAACTGAAGGGCGTGCCGACATGGGCGTGGCGACGCATGTGAATCCGGCCACTGGAGCCTTCGGTGGCGCTCCCTCGGGGCCAGGATCGCTACCGCAGAGGGAAATCCAATTCAATTCCTGCAACAACTTCATTGGTTATGTTGGCCAGCGCGCGCCGCTGGCACACCACGTCAGGAAACCCTGGAAAAGGCCCACGGCGCGGGCGGCTCGGCGAGGAACGGCGGCAGCTCAACCGTTTGTACTCGGGGTCGAAGTCGCCCGCGACGACGCACTCGGCCAGCTCGAAGTACAGCTGGTTGCCCCAGCATGTGGCAGCTGTCCGTTTGCATTTAACCTGCGGCGCCAGTCCCGTTCCCTATGCCCTCGGACTCTCTTCGGAACTCCTGCCGCCGTTCCTCGCTCTCGGACCTCCTGCCGCTGCTCCTCGGCCTCCGCGTCCGCCCTGGCCTTCCGAGCAGCAGAGCTCTTCAAGTCAGGGGCAACGGTGCCGGTCATGTTTCGCAGCCCCGAGAAGTGTTTGGCATTCTCGAAATGGGTTTGCTGGGGTTGCTACCGCACGCGTCGACTATCGCCCGCGCTCGCACGCACAGTAGCTCAGCAAGCACCAACAAACCCAGGTTCAACTTATCATACGACCCAGCCCTCTCCACCGAATCTACCGTCTTGAGCTCGCGATAGGTTCGATCGGTGATCGCAACATGTGCCGAACGCTCATTTGTCCAAACGCCCACAAGCGCCTGCACACTTCTCCCCATGCGGGCGCGGGGATGGGCAACAAAGGGAGGCGTGTCTGGAGGCAGTCGAAGAACGGGTGCTGGGACATCTCGGCTAGGACGTCCCCCCACGCTTTGTGAAGTGTCGCCCTTTAACATCGCATTCGATCGCCAAAATTTGTACATCACCACCGTCTACACTGCATTTGCCTCCGCCGCCGGTGCCCCCAGGGGCACGGCCGCTCAAAAACGCGAAGAAAACTCATCCAAGCTGCCGTCGCTGGGGGGTGGCAATGGTCCCTGCGTAACCTCAGCCTCGTCCGCGCCCCCCTTGCACCGCGGCCAACGCAGCGAGGGCCGCCAGATTGGACACCTCACGGATCAGCTGGTCGCGCTCGTCCGCCGTCATCGGTTGCACCCTCGCCCAGCCTGGCCAAACGCCCTTCAACTATCGCGCGCTGCTGCCTGATCGCCGGGTCGGCAGCCTCCAAGGCAACGGCTTCCCGACGGGGTTCCAGCCCGCAGCTAGGCCCACCGCGGTCCACTTCATTCCTAATGGCGGCACCACCTTTCCAACAACAGCCTTTCAAACGGCAACCTCTAAACCGGCATGGCTTTGGGGCTGAGCGGGAGGCGGAAACGGCAGCGGAATACCTCCTTCAACAACAGCGGCCTGGGCGGGCACCTCCACCGCAATGTCGATCAGCGTGTGGGATGACGGACGCCCTTCTCAGTGCCGACCCTGGCGGAGAGCGCATAATCTTGCCGATGTGCACGAGCTGCTGTTTGTAGAGCTGGTCTGAAGCGAACTGCACGCCAGTCCTCTGCAGGACTGTTGCGTTCGAAATTCTCGAGATGTAGGACTGCGGGATACCCATGAGAATTATCAGGCATTTGGCCTGGAAGCCGTCAGGCCTGTTCAAATCAGCTTTCAAACATCAGCCAGCGGACAATCCATACAAAAGGTTGGTTTCAATGAGCGCGGTGAATACGTGCAGCGACCATCTTCGAAATAACAAAGAATGCCGCCAGCCTAGGCTCACCGCGCGTTCGCCAATCCGATCCTCTGGCGGAATTCGGTCGCCATCCTTCCGTCGGCAGTCAGAGTCGACCCGAAATGCACGAGCGATTTCTCACACTGCACGTAGTGGTCCCCGGCTGCACGTCCAACCGCTGTTAAAGGTGAACTCTGTTAAGCAATAAACAGCAAAGTGTAACGAACACGCAGAACTGAAACGTATTCGTAGACCCCTCCAAGGTTCAGAGACCTTACACCAAACACTAAGATCAATCTAGCCCTCGCCTTCGCACAGCCTCGCCTCGCCCGCGCGCATGACACGAACCGAAACCGAAACCGAACGTGCATTATCGGTGTCACCCGCATCAACCTCCGATTACAAAAATCTGCGAACACCACTCGTACGCGCATCAACATGCCGGACTCTGTCGGAAGCGCCACAGCGTGCGAGCAATGCGATATGTCTGCGCGAGCCAGCGGCAAACCTGCGAATGCCACCGTAGCCTGCGAGCACAGCCTCATGTCTGTGAGCACCACCGTATGCCCGTAAACGCCACCGCCTGCCTGAACGCACTGGAACACTACAACACGCCTGCGAACAACAAAGCATGCCATTCGGGGGGTCTGGCCCTCATCCCCCACCCCACCACGCACGACCGTTACCGTCACGCTGAGGCGCTGGGGTTTGGGGGGGCGGATTAAAAGCGTTACGCGACGGAGGCCGCACAAAAGTAAACTCACGTACATCAGATCGGGCCGCATCGGCACGGAGTCAGAATCGGATCGGATCGGATCGCGCCAAGGTCCACAGCAACACTATACAAGCAGCAGGCCAGCCACATCGGATCGCCAGAATGCAGGACCCGAGTCAGATCTGGCTGGCCAGGATGGACATCGAGAACTGGATCGGTGGGCCCGAAATACAACCTGGGAGGATGAGGATGACGAAGGGACGAGAGGGCGACGACGACAAGTGCCAGCTATGAGAGGAAGCGAGGAGGATGAACACCAGGATCAGCAAGGAGAGGGGAGAAAGCGGAGGACACAAAACCTCCATAATGCCAAATGCATGCCCCGCCGGGTGACGAGGCTGCGGCGTCTCGTCTTTTTCCCCGCGAACGAACGCACCGCTCCTAGCGACATCCAGTGTCTGAACATTCGCCTCGAGGTTCCTCGACGGCGGAGGGGGCGGCGGGGAAAATGGCGGGGGAGGAGACGGGGAAAGTCAGAGTAAAAGGGAGGGCGGGGGAAGGATGGGGAGGAAGGAAATACAGGGGAACGACAGGGGATGAAGGGAGGTTGGGGAGGAGGGAAGAAGGGGGTCGAAAGAGGATTGGATGTAAAGAGGAGGGGGGATGGGGTGGTGGCGAGAGAGCGATGCTCCAACTGCTGTAGCATCACACGCGCATGAGCCACTTCAGACTACAATGTATAACGCTTGGCACTTTCCCCGAACCTACAAACAACACGATGGGTATCCGCGAGCCGGTCTTCACCAAGGCCTTACCGCAACCAACGACTCCTTTCGGTTGAGGCTGGCTACGACTTTGTTGATGCCACCTCGGGGGGACCCGCCGCAGCCACCAGACCCGCCACCTGCTGCCCCCCTCCATCCCGTCCACCTATATACTCTTCCGCCCCCTTCCTCGCCCCCTCCACCCCGTCCCTCCCCCCTCCTTTCCCGCCTTCTTTGCACCCCCCCGCCCCCCCTTCCAACTCGACACACGCGGCCGAACGAGGGAGTGCAGGAATCTGTGGAGGTGGACGGAAGGAAGAAAGGCGGAGTTGGACGGAGGAGGGAGGAAGGAGAACGAGGAAAAGACTTGGGTAGGCGCGGCACGCGACACCGATGCCGCAGCGAACCTTCCTGGCCCAAGCCCCCGATCTTGAAACCAGCTCAAATAAACATGTTGACTGCGACGGGCGTTTGCGTGCTGACACGCGCACGCGCACGAGCTGTCATAAGGCCCGGCCGCGTAACGATCCAGAACTGTTCACGTCGCGGCGCGGCAAAGGCCATCCGCTCGCGCGTCGAGCAAATCTGAGCTGTAAAATGCCGCGGAGAGAAAGAGGGAGGGAGGGCGCACTCACGTGGCCGCGCCGCAGGGAGCGGGGCGGCCAGGCTGCGGAGCAGCCAGTGGCAGCGGCGCGGGGCGGCGTCGCGGGCGCTCCCAGGAGCGGGGCCAGCAGCCGCAGCGCGGGCGAGGCCCAGCAAGCGGGGTGGGCGGGAGCAGTGGGCGGCAGGCGGACCAGGGCGCCCGGGCGGGGGCGGCACCTGAGGCGCGCAGCGCCGGGCTGAGAAGGCCGGCGCGGCGCAGCAGGCGCTCAGGCAGTCGCCAAGAGGCTATGCGAGCCTCGCCTCCCCAGTCTGGGTTTGTTGAGGCGCTGGCACTGCGGCTGGCAATATCGCGGCGCGATTGCACGCCGACGCCGCGATCCAGAACACAATAAGTCGAAGAGGGCACCGTCATCCATAAATGAAGCAAGCACGTGAAATATATACAATACATTGCGCGCGGCTGTATGGGCTTCCCACAGTCCACGTGCCCGTTGATGACTCGAATTCTGAAGTTATGGCTTGTCAGACACCCCAGGAGAGAGCTCGCTTGTGACCAACTATGGCCATGAATCCCTGTACACCCTGTGCTTCTTTCTTCAGAAACTACGCTCGTGAGGGTGAACGGATGCAAGGGTATGTTCATTCAGAATGGATCGCACCCCATCTTTGCTTACGCTGGAATCTTAGAAGACGCACGCGCGCGGCCCGACAGAGCCAGACTTGACGATCACCGCCCTCTATTGGTGTAGTTGTCGCGGGCCTTTGACATGAAACAATGCGGCTCTGAGCCGACGGCCAACTTTCGAGAACGGCCTGTGCTCAATCCACTTGGGTGCCCGAAGCTACGAGCTCTGGGACGAACCGAAGCGCCAAGGCTGCCACAGGAACGTCGGATGATGCGACGGGGCGGCGTCATTCATAAGGAAGGAGGATGGGAGCGGAGGAGAAGAAAGTGAAGAGGAGGAGAGGGGGAGGAGAAAAGGAGAGAAACGACGGCCAGGGAAGGGAGGAGCGTAAAGAGGAGAAGAGGAATGCGGGAGGGGAGGGGGGCGAGACTGGAGGGAGGGGGTGCGCGGATTAGTAGATGATGTAACGAGCGTCCCACGGCCACCGAAGTTCGAGTCCAGCAGCCACCGCATCATCTGCAGAAAGCCTACGAAGTTGAGCTGGCCACTCCTGTTGGTGTCCATCTCCTTGATCTTCGCGTCCAGCGTGGGCTCGTCTTTGGTCTGCAGGGGGCAGCCCAGACTCTGGAGCAGCTTGATCAGGGAGATCTTGGAGATATTCTGTTCCAGGCCTTGCCGAGCCCGGCAGTGGGGATAATGTTTTGCTGATTGTTGTTGGGGGAATGCCTGGAAAGAGGAGGACCGCACCAACCCACAGCCGTAGGGCCTTCGTTCCAGGCACGCCCCGGGGACGACATCGATTGGGAATGCCCATCGTCGCAGGCTGGTTCGGGCCGACGGCGAACGCCGCTCCCCCTCCCGCCTCTCTCCTCCCTCCTGCTGCATCTCTCCTCCCTTTTTGTCAGACTTCAGCCTCACGCAGATGCTCTGAGCTAGGACGGGAATGGTGTCATGATGCGATTGGCCCACGACGCGTTCCGATAATTACAGAGTGTCTAGCGGCCCTCGGGACTGAAGCGCTGGAGTTCGCGCGGATCATCAAAACTTCCTGGAACTCTTGGAACGGATCACTCTCATGACGTCTTGCTCCTCTGGTGGACGCTTGATGCCCCAAACTCCGCATCTCTTCTGATGTGAAGGTCAAGCCGCTGGTACATCCAACAGTCGAGGCGGACTAAAACAAGAGGGGGTTAATGAATTAGCTCGCGTAGCTGTTTTTTTCCAGCGCCTCCCGGAGCCAGGAAAGGACAAATATCGCAGAAAGCGCCAGGCGGCGGGGCCGAGACCAGCTGCACGCAGCAGATGTTGCAACCCTCCCAATACATCTCCCCCTCTTCGTCCGACTCGATGGTGCCATGCGTGTCCGAGAACAGGACGGGCTTACATTACAAGTGGCAACAACACTCAGATGGGTTGAGCTCATCCCCTGAGCAGGGAGAGTTGTAGAAGAATGACGTGCACATTGCCCACTGCCTTGATCGGGGTCGCACTGCCTGGTAATAGACGAGCGCGTTCCGCTACTGGCAAAGTAACTACTCGCAAGTGGCCTGGATCCGCCGCGGGTGATTTACGATCCATTACACAAAACAGATACATGTTTCTTCCTGACGTTTGCGAGTAGGCACTTTGCAAGTAGCGGAACGCGCTCGGTGAGTCAAGGCAATGTCGCGAAACCCGGCTCTCTGCACTCAAAACAGCTCCCAGGCCCGGGTCAGCAGAAAATTGGGAGGGGAATGTCGGCCCCACGTCGCTCCCAAACCTGGGTCAGCCAAAGGGCATCATGGCGGACTGGTTGACCCCCATCTGGGCTGATCCCGTTACGTGCGCCCTGTTTTGAGCCGCGTCGAGGCAGCATGCCGGTTGGCAGCCCTGTCATCGTACTTCGAGTGGCACTGAAGGTAGTGGCCACGTACTCTGCTTACAACGCTTTCGCCCTACACCAGCGCGCCAGGGCAAATCCTGGGTACTGCTCTGCATTTGGATCCATTTGGGCTGCGTCGCTGTCTGCAGTGATCCCTCATGAGGCCTGGATAACGATGTCAGCAGCAACACCTCATTTTCTGGTCGGCTGACGCTTTAGTCTGGCCTCTCGTCGTAACCCCGTGATGAGGCTCACACTGGTGACCTGGGATTGGGCCAGCCCAGCTGGTGGTGGGTACTTACACGTCACAAGCTGTTTTGATCACTCCATCCTTCTTCTTGCGTTGCCCATCATGGATCATCCTCATCCTTCGCCGTTTCCTCCTCTGAGTCCTCCCCGAGACTGCGCCCAAGGCCTTTTCTGTTCGGCCGCCGTGCCACTCAGACACACGCGGCACGCGGCCCTTGAAGGCCAAGCCGTCAAGAGGCCGCCTGTCACATGACTCGCTCGCCTCTGCGGCCCGCACGGTCTGTTCGCACAAGGGGCTCTGGCACCGACGCCAGTCCTCGCACGCCCCACGTGCAAACGCATGACGCGCGTGTCCAGTCGAGCGGGCGGTACGCGGGGGTGGCCCAAATGTGGGGTGAAGAAAAAGGCCCTCAGGGGCCCCGTTCTTGGGCGCCTTCTGGCTCCGAAAGGGCCCCATCGAAAGGGCCCTCTTCTTCCCCCCCCGTTTGGGCCACCCCCGCGTACCACCCGCGCGATCCAGTCCCCGCGCTCCGCTCCGGGGGCCCGGGGAGGGGCAGGCGGCGCCGCCCTCGGGCGCTGCGACGCGGCCCCGCCTGGAGGCCGCGCAGCCGCACCCCGGGGCGGGGCCGCGGCGCAGTGCCCCCCGGACGACTCGGAGCTGCGCGTGGCTGGGCAGACCAGACCCCCCAGCTGGCTCCAACCTGGATCCAACGGCAGCTTCGGGAGACCAACAGGTCAATTGCCGATGTACCGCTGCGCCCTGGACCTCTCCCGGGGTGCGTGCTGACCAGGATGAGGCGAACCCAGCGGTGGTGACGAGGGCCTCCCGGGGGGGGGGGGGCCCAAAGAGGGGAAAACGGGCGAAGGGTAGCAGTATCGGTACCGTCGGAACTAGGACAGAACAACATCCTTCAAGAACATGAGGCCCTCCGCCGGCCCAAACTAAAGGACCTTCCAGGGTGCCCCCCCCAGGATGCACATGAACATCCAACAAACACAAAGCGCATCAAGGCACCCTCCCCGAACCGACCTCGACCTCATAACCCTGTGCCCCAGATAATCATAACCCCACATAATAAAGTTCGGGCATCTGGCGGGGATAATCAACGATTTTCATGATGATGATGATGATGATGATGATGATGATGATGATGATGATGATGATGATGATGATGATGATGATGATGGTGATGGTGATGGTGATGGTGATGGTGATGATGATGATGATGATGATGATGATGATGATGAGGATGATGAGGATGATGACGATGATCAAATCCTATGGAACCACAATGAAAAAATAGAGGGGGGTTAAGGGGGGGTATGTTTTATTAGCCGGGGCACCGGGGAACCACGGTCCAACAGTACCGGCGCCTCGCTCTTGCTTCCGCGGCCTCCCGCCGCACATGCGCTGGCCTTCCCCCCGCAGGCCCGCCACCACACTGCTCCCGCCCGGAGGGCGACACCCTCGCCGAGGGCGAGAGGCACTGCCTGGCACGACAGATTTGAACGTGCCCGCGGGCCGTCGCCGAGGAGGTCCTCGACCGTGCTCCTGTCGGCGGCGAGCGAGGGCGGGAAGCGAGGAGGAGAAGGCCTTCTCAGAAGGCGGCGGGGCTTCTCCGGGGCCCTCGCGCCTGCCTGCCGAGGAGTCTGTCTGTGCCTACGGGGAGGGCTCCCGGGGCACCTCCGAGCCCTCAGAGAAGGCCCGCCCCTCCTCCTCCTCCTCCTCCTCCTCCTCCTCCTCCTCCCTCTCCTCCTCCCCCTCCTCCTCGTCCTCCTCCTCCTCCTCCTCCTCCTCCTCATCTCTTCCCCCGGGGCTCGCCGCCGATCCTGTCGGTTCCGTCCTGCTCCTCCGCGACGCCCCAATCCCACCCGCCCTGCTGCCTCGCCCAGTGGATCCGCCACCGCTCCCGCAGCGGCCGGCGCACCCCTCGCGCAAGACGAAGGCAGAGCGAGGAGACTAAGACGAAGGCAGAGTCGAGACAACATCGGACCTATACAAATAAGAAATCTCAGATCATCGGCGGGCTTGGAGGATGTACCCGTATCGGGCGCCGCGGCAGTTTCAGAGCGTTCTGGAACGCTGGAACGGATTTATCTCCATTCTAGGCCCGTCCGAGATACACCAAAATGAGGGAGGGTGCATCGAGAACACCTCTGAGAACTGGCAAGCCTTGAGGATATATCGGGCGCCGCGGCCGTTCCGGGGCGTTCTGGAACGGTCTGGAGCGATTCATACTTATGCATCCTGGGCCTGAATGATTGGCTGCCTTCGGCGGCCTTCGTAGGAGGGCGCCAACTGCTCAACGGTACACTGACCCTGGGCCCTGGGCCCAGGATCAGTGTGTACGCCCACCTGGCTTGACCAGGAAGGCCTGTATGCACCGATCCTGGGCCCAAAGTGGGTATGGCTGGCATCGGTGTTGATGTATGGTTGCGGTTCCCCGACTTCCACCTTCGGGAGGCCTTCGGACCACATCGGCGGCCACTGCGCTCTGCAGCGCTCGGAACCGAGCCTTTGCCTTTCTGAATTGTCTCGCTTATGGCAAGCCAATGACTCAGACCCTCCGACGTCTCAAAATCAGAACGGATGTGTTTCACCATGTTCGGTCTTATGACGCCCTCGAGCCCAGCAGATCTTTACAGATCGATCGAAAGGCGAACCACTTATACAAGATGATGCGTCGAAAACTAGGCAAACATCTTGAAACACAAAAGCCGTCGAAGATCCAGGTGTCGGGCTCTTGTTGTTGACGTCTGTCCCGCCCCTTGATCCCTTGAGCAACTGACACACCCCTCAGGCACATCGAGCCCAAAATGCGCTCATTTGGATGAACGAGTCTTTGGATGACCAAGTCAACAACCGTGACATTGCAATGTGAGCAAATCAGGGAAACGGGGCAACAAGGTCTGTCCCCCGTGCCGCCCCCGCCCCCAGGCGCCTGCGCAAGCGCGGTGACGGATTAGCGCAGCAGCGCAACAGAATGAATATCTCGCGGAACTGAGCGACCTCCGCAGGGTCGAAGTTCAGGTTCGAGGACGTCTCCTCGACCATGTCCTTCTGCCAGCGAGGTAGAAACATCTGGGCGTGTGCGTGCTCTTCTGTGGACGCCCGAAGCGGGCACGAACAAAAATAGCGCAATGCCCAACAACGAGTGTTGTCCGAAACCAACAGCTTCTGTCTCAAATGGGCACAGTCCTCGACGACACCGACAGCGAGTCCTTTTTCAAAATGAACAGGAACTGCTGTCGGTCTTCGCGCCCGTTCATCTCGTTGTCATTTCGGTCTTCCCGATGTCTTGGGCCACTTCATGGCCTCCCGACACCTCCCGGGGCCACCCGAGACCGCGGGACCTGGTGGAACATGCACCACGTGGGGGGACTTCCCCCCAGTCTCGCCGCCGAGGAACGGTTGCCAGCCCTCCGGCGCGATCGACTTGCTAGCGGGGGGGCGACCAGAGCCGAAAGTCGAATATGTCCCTGTCTGCTGAAGGAGGGGACGGCGGCGTTCCGCACCCTATCGCGCAGCCCCACCCCGAGGGTTCTCCCAGGTGGAGGCCGCAAGGGCGGGATCGAGAATCGACGATCGGGTAGGATCGAGGATTAAGGAAGATCCAACGGCGCCTAACTTTGCGCTTCGCGCTGCGCGAACCGCGAATACCTTGGCGCTCTCGCGCCTCCCCCCAAGGGAGAAGAGGATGAGGAGAAATCGGAGCCGAACCGCGACGCGCGAATCACTTCGCGCCCTCAAGGGCGCCCATGAGGATCGAGGAGGATCGAAGTTCGAGCAACGAGGAGGTTCGAGGGCCTGGGGCCTGGGAGGGACTCTACATGGGTTCGGGGCACTGAGCGTTTCTCGCCCTTCTGTGTGTCTCTGGAGGCCTTTGGGGATCTCCGGAAGATGGGGGCGGGGCGAAGGCAGATGATGGGAAGAAGAGCGCGCCGAACCGCCATCCAATCCGCCGCCGAGTCCGCCCCTCCTGCCCCTTGCTTCGCCAACTGTCCTCGTACTTGCGGTCTCTTTTTGTCCGCTCTATCCGCATCAGCTGCACAAACTCCCAAAAAGAGTGAACATTCTGCCCAGCTGCACTCTGCACGCCAGCCTCCGCCGCCAGCTTGCGCGCCTTCTCCAAACTCTCGCTGATGGCCTGTTGGTTCGCCTTTGTCTTGATCTCAATGCCAATGTGGCCTAACAAAGCCATTATCTCCTTTTCATCGATGTCACCACTGCCATCCGAATCGTATCTCGCAAAGACGTCCCGGAAACGTTTGATCTCCATGTCGGAGAATCCGGCCTTCATCCGGTCCCATACATTGCGGACGACCCGGAAGAGGTCTGCGAGCTCCACGAACGAATCGAAATCGACCCCCTGATTGCCACAGGACTGCAGAGCCGGCAGAGAGCCTACTCGTGGGGGGGGGGGACATATCCATGTCTACGGCCTGGCGGATCGGACTCCCCTGCCGTGGCCCCGCGAATGCATGGCAGATGTGCGCGGATGCCCTGTGCGAATAATATCACTGCGACCGTCCATTGAGACGAAGCCAGAACGAGGACACACATTTGGGTGAGGATACATCGGGAATCCTTGAGACCCGGCGGCTCTGGAGGAGGTCTCGGGCGCCGCGGCCTTCTCAGAGCGGTCCGGGGGTTTTCTGAGAGCGTTGCGGAATGCCCTGGGGCGGACTTCTCCTCGCCCTTGCCCCGTTCGAGTACATGGGACCGCGCTTCGGTGCCCGAACCGCGAGGGCGTGGATATGGATATTTCGCGTTCGCCACTCGTGGCCCGCGAAAGCGTCGGCGATCTCCCTGGAGGCTCGCGTCTCGCACAGCGCCGGGAGCGCAAACCACAGGTCCCCGTGCAGCGACGAATGGCACCTGCAGGAGCCCAGGCAGGAGGACGAATTACGGCATGCACGCGGCGTGACAAATAGGGAAGCCGAAAGGCACCGATACCCCTATTCCCCTGACCTCTCCAAGTGTGCATTATGCCCAGAAGTTCGGTGCGAATCCAGCCGTGTCGACGAGGGCCCCCCTGGAAGCGTCCTTTTGTGGGAGCGCCCTTATGTGTCCGATAAAGCCGGATAAGATCGGGGAGAGTCCTTTTGTGTCCTGGGCTTCTGAGATACCTTACGTTCTTAATATGCCCTGCGCAAGTCTGTCGTGGCGTGCGCGCGTTTGCGCATGCGCGTGCGTGCGTAGATTATGTGCATGTGCGTCCGTGCGTGGTGGTCTGCGGCGCTGCTGTGTTGTGCCGTATTGCACTGCCGTTGTCCTGCGGTCTGCGTGAACATGTGTTGCCTCCCTGTGTGTGGATGCGTGCGTGCGTGTGTGGCTGTGCGTGCGTGCGTGTGTATGTAACTGCGTGTGCGTGTGCGCGTGCGTGTGCCTGTGTGTGCGCGCGCCTGAGTGCGCGCCGCTGTGTGAATAGATGTTCTGCGTGTTCTGCCGCGCTCCTATGTGTTATGCCGTGCTCCTGTGTGTTCTGTCATGGTATTGCTGTGCCGTGCTCAGGTGTTCTGCCGTGTTCAAATGTGTTCTGCCGTGCTCCTGTGCATTCTGCCGCGTTCCTGTTTGTCCTGCCGTGTTCCCGTGTTTTTGTGTGGCGTGCCGCGCTCCTGTGTGTTCTGCCGAATTCCTGTGTGTTCAGCCGCGCTCATATGTACTATGAGCGTTATGCCGTGCGCGTCGTGCACCTGCATTGTCTGCCGTGCTCCTGCGAGATCTGCCGTGCTCCTGCATGTTCTGCCGCGTGTTGGCTGGTTGGTTGGAGGGGCCTTCAAGGCGGGGGAAAAAAAAAAAAAAAAAAAAAAAAAAAAAAAAAAAAAAAAAAAAAAAAAAACCGCGGAAGGGCCGCCCCCCCCGAGGAGGCCGCCTTGGGCCCCCTCCCAGACACGTGCAGCACAGACAGAAGGCGAAGCCTCTGGTATATACTACACAAGACAACCATCGAGTGCAGCACTGACACGAGCATATACTACACCAGATCACACCCAGTGCAGCACTGAAAAGAACAGATACTACACAATATACCATTCGACTCGCAACACCAGAATCATGCAAGCACTGCTCAAACGAACAGAATCTATACAAGATCAGGGGAGGGAGGAACATCACACAAGACAACCATCAAGTGCAGCACTGACAAGAGCATATACTACACAAGATCTCAACTAGTGCAGCACTGAAAAGAACAGATACTACACAACCCCATTCGACTCGCAACACCAGAATCATGCAAGCACTGCGCAAAGGGACAGAGCCTATACATGATCAGGGGAAGGAGGAATATCACTCACCACGAGAGGACAATCAACGCACCTCAACGGCCTCAGAGCACACCTTGGAAGTGGCGACATTCTTTATCCAAAGGTCTGCGGCAAAGCCCTGCAGATGGAACACGAACAGCTGCGCGACCACGTGGGCGGCCTCGACAGTCCCCATGGCCCGCAGGTGCCCGGATGAGGCCTCGCTGAGGCGCAAGGGCGCGCTGGCCTGCCGCTGGAGCACCTGCGCGAGGTCGAAGAAAGCATGCCGCGTGCGAACACCTCCCTCGGCAGGTCTCGACAACGAAGCGGCGGGAACCTGCTCACCGCCTCTGACAGAGCCCGCGGCCCGCTCCAGTCCCGCGCCGCGGGGGATGCATACTCCCGAAGGCACGGGGGCCAGAGACCGCGCCACGTCGCGCACGCGGGCCTTCGCAGCTGCCGTCCCCCACGAAGACGCTGGAGAAGCCGCGACGCGCGGCGGCGTCGGATCCCCCACCATGGGCGCCGAGTGCTGGGCCGCCGCCGAGCCGCCCGCGGGCGCGCGACCGGCCGCCGCAGCGGCCCTCGCGCCAGGTCCCCCAGCGCCACCAGCGCCGACACGAGGACCCCCTTGGCAGGCACCAGGCGGCGGGGCAGCGGCCGCGCGAGGAGCCCGAGCCACTGCCTCGCCGAGCGCCTCCGCCAGCGCCGCACCTACAAGCGCAGGCCGGCGCCCCCGATGCTGCAGGGCGCCGAAGGCGCGGAGCAGCGACTGGGCTGCACGCGCCTGCGCCATCAAGGCCCGGGCCTGGCGCTCGGCCGCCGAGCGCCGCGGGCGCGCCGGCACGCCGGCGGCGAGCCGGGGCGGGGCCGCCACCCCGCGCCGCGGAGGGGGAAAGCCGCGGAGGAAGAGAGGAGGCCCGCGGGGTCTCTGCCGCGTGTTATGCCGTGCTCCTGCGTGTTCTGCCGTGCTCCTATGTGCTATGTCGCTGTGTGTTTTACAATGTTCCAGTGAGTTATGCCGTGCTCCTGCTTGTTCTTCTGTGTTCCCATGTGTTTTGCGTCTTCTGTCGCGTTCCTGTGTTCTGCCGAACTCCTGCGCGTTCTGCCGTGTTACCATGTATTTTCGTGCTCTGCCGCGTTCCTATGGATTCTGCGTGTTCTGACGTGCTCCTGGTGATCCTGCGCGTGTCCTTCTGCGGCTGGGCCTTGTCCTCATCCTTGCTCTTGGCGCTGGCCTTGGCGGAGCGGTCGTCGATCGCGCCCCGAAGCTTCTGGGCCCGCGCGTTGCCTCGAGCGCGCGCCATGTTGATGTTGATTGGCGGTTCGCGACCCTCGCCCCGGATCTCGCGCGAGGCGCGCCCGACCACCTCGTCGCCCAGAGTCCGCAGGACCAGCCATCCACTCGGGGCGTCCTGTTGGTGCTCGGAGTGCATTCCTCGCCAGGGCCGATGGCGCCGAGCTTTCGGGGGGCCCTCGCGGCGGCCTGCTCGGCGTTCTCGGGCGGCTTCTTGAGGGCGCCACGGCGCTCGACGGCCAAGCCCGCCCCCTGCTTGGACGCCTCGGGGAGTTTGTCGAGCCGAGAACCGGGATCGGATAAAGACTGAGTCTTCGCAAATTGCGCTGCTCGAATCAGCCCCCCCGCGGAGCAGCCGCGCGGTCGCTCGAGCGAACGGCCGCGCGCGGTGACCCCCCGCCCCGGAGCGCCAACCCGCGCGACGACCCCCGCGAAGGCCCCCGCGCAGAGACCTCGCAAAGAACCCTCCAGTCACCCGGCCAAAAAACATGTAAAAACCGCTGCAAAAAACTCGCCAGGAACCGTCAGAAGACGTTATCATCCCGCGCCATACCCTTCGGGAGACCCTGCGATGCGTTGCAAGTCCCTACAGCTGGACCTGCGATGCCCTGTCACTGCCCTTCGATTTCTCCAGCACCCGGCCCTCTGGGCGTAGAACGTTTGAATAATGCCGTTTTTGCTGGGGGGGGGCTCTGGGCCCCCCCCCCGAAGCGGAAGGCCCCAGGGGGGCTCCAAGACAGGTCCGAGAGGGCGCCGAGAGAAGCCCCAAGAGCGGCCCAAGGGGGCCCCGAGAGGGGCGCGCGACGCATCGCACCAACTCCGTCCGACGGAGTGTGGCGCGATGCTTGACAATGCTCACCGGGGGCTTTCTTTGGGCCCTCCAGGCCCTCGCGGGCCCCTTCCCTCTTTCATTTCCGGGGTTCCCCGGCACCCCCCCTGGTCGCGTGAAATCGCTGGGGCCCAGGCCCCTACGATATCATAGCTACAGGCTATCGTGTGGAATCGTTGGGGCCTGGGCCCCAAAGATATCGCGCGGCTTAGGGGGGGCCTGCGCGGGGCCCCCGGGCGGCCCCGCGAGGGCCCCCGGAAGCATCTTAGGCCCTTTTGCGCGGTCCTCTGGGGGCTCCCCTGGGGCTCCTGGCGACGACAAAGCCGGAGCTATTCTTCCATTCCCCCCCGTCCACGTCCATTTTTCCACGGGCAGCGGCTGCCCCCTTTTTGCTTTCACTGCGCGCTGCTACACTTCCCTGATCACGGCGACTCGCCCGCGCATCTGCTCTGAACGGGGCGGCGGGGACGCGCGAAACGACCAGAATTCAAGAGCTGCCGCAAAGCACTGTCGCAGCAAATGAGGACGCTGCGAGCGGGCGTCTGGCGCCCCCCCACCGTGGCCTGATCGTCGTACTTTGGCCCTAACGCATCTCAACCCTCGACGTCGCGACGTCGCTCGCGCGCGGCCTACACGATGGCCTCCGCGGCTCGCAACCTGGCGCAGCCTGGGCAGCGGTGTCTGCGGCGCCCTCTAAGAGCCTGCTCGCCCGCCCACGGAAACCTGCAGAGGGGCCCAAGCGACCCCAAATCGCGATTACTGGGCGACTACCCTACCATGCCCCGAGATTGTTGAAGGCTCCGGGAGACCTGCCCTTGGCGACTGCGCCGCATTCGGGTCGCATCGCTAGCCCACTCGTGTCATGGTTGCCCTTTCCCAAATAATTTGACGAGGCGATTGTGGGGACGGCGCGATTTGACGAATCTTACTTTGACGATGTTGAAACGGGACATGACGACATTTGACGAACTTTGACGAGATTCGACGCGAGCTACCTTTCCAAGATTTGACGCGATAGTGCCCTCGGCAAGTGGAACTTACTTTGAAGACGGCAACCCTGTGCGAATCTCGAGACGAAGATTCGTTGAATCAAATCCTCGCCATACTAAACCTTGTCAAATTGTAAGGGGCGGGGAAAAGAGACCTCGCAGACTGTTCGGGCGATTGCGTTGCGACCCGGACACGCCGCGGCCGCCGAAGGGGCCCCCTGCCTGGCACGCCCCTCCGAGCTCCGCCGGGCTACTCCGAAATTCCACCCCCAATTCCCCCCCCCCCCCCCCCCCCCCGGGCCCGGAGCGGCCACTTGCCTTCTTTTGAAATCGCCCTCCGAACCAATGATTTTTCACAATGGGTAAGGGTCTCTGCGTTTGGAGATTTCCTGGGCGCGCGGTCGCGCTGGGGGTCCTCTTAACGCCGTCTTGGGGCCCCGAGCCGTTTACGTCCCGAGGGCCCTCGGGCGGCTCCAGGAGGGGCCTGGGGCCGCCCCAAGAACCCTAAGAGCGGCCTCGCGAAGTCTTTCTGGCGTGACCGATCTTGAGGCCTTCATGGGGCCCTCTTGGAGCTGTCTTGGGGCGCTCTGGGAGCCGCCTTGGGGCCCCCCTGGGCCATTCCAAGAACCCTTGGACGGCTCCGGAGGAGGGCCCCGCGACAGCTCCAAGAGGGCCCCCCGAGCGGTCACTGAGGGGGCCGAACGATTCATTCACCCACGGCGCAACAAACCCTCGACCCACCCGCGACCCACTCGCGACCAATCGGCATCGCAAGCCGCCCGAAATCCACCCGCGCCGCGACCCGCCCGCGCCGCGACCCGCCCGCGCCGCGACCAAACCGCCAGGACGACGACGACAATAACAACAACAAGCAGGATCCCCACCACAGTGGATCCCCACTTCGGCCACGCACCCAGGGACACTGCAAGACCGTTCGACCCCCATCACTCTGATTTACTTCGCCGCGCTGTAAAGAAATCCTCCACGGACAATCCCGCCCGCGCCCGCACGCGCGAATGAACGCTCACTCAACGAGAACAATGTTGTTCTGCGCCCGCGGCCGTCCCAGAAATGGCGTCGGCGGGTGTCAGGGTTCAACGCGAGTCGCCTGTTGGCGCCCGTGGGCATGCCCGCGAAGTTGCCCTACTCCCCTGGCCAAGCGCACCGCTGACATTCTCGATGCTTCGCGACGTTTGGACGACGGCGGACGATATGACTGGCCGGCCCAATTCAAGAATGCGTTCTTACCTGGGGCCCGGACAGAAGCGCCCCTGGAAAGCGCAATGCGAGCATCTCGCGCAAACGTTCTAGCATCGCGCGCGTCCAGGACAAACCCTGCGGCACCTGCACGTCGCTTCGCCGCAGATGCGCTGATCTGAGCGCACGGCGCGAGGACATACCTGGCGCCCTTTGGGGGACCTCGGCCCAGGGGCACTTCTGGCAACGCCCGACTTGGGGTGGGGGTTGCGCGCGGGGGCCTCGGAGTGCACCGCGATCAGCAGGTGCTCGGCTTTCGCGGCTCTCTCGGCCCAGCGCAGCTGCTCCTGCTGCTGCTGGGCGGAGGGGTCGCCCTCGCCCTGGCCCGCTCGAGCCCCGGCGGCGGCCGCCGCGGGCTCGACCGCCGCGACGCTTAGATGGGCGCCCACGCGCTCCAGGATCTCGCCGAGCGGCGCGCGCGCCGCGCCCAGGACGGGGGCGTCGCCCATCTTGATCTGCTCGCAGTTCATGATGGCGTGCTCCTTGGCGAGCCCAATGCGCCAGGGCCCCTTGCGCGCTCGCCTGTCCAGCTTCTGCGGCTCGGAGAACTGGTAGTCCTGCTCGATCGTGACTTGTGAAGCTCGGGGGCTCGCGGGTCTCACGGGCGCTCGTCGACTCGCTTCCGCCCCATTCCGCCGTCGGGCCCCAAGCCCCCGCCGGCCCCCGCCGTCGCCCCCGACAGCTCCCGCCGCCACCTGGCCCGAAGGCGGACGCGCGCGGGGGCAAATTAACGAGCGCCAAATAGCCCCCGAACCTTGGCGCCGTCGATCTGCAAGATCGCCTGCCTGAGCGGGGCCACTTAGCCGCTTATACGTTCGGCTGCAATCAGTTATAAGCGTGTTCTCCTGAAGTCGGCGCAATCGAAATGCCATCCAGTTGTGCATGGCTGTGAAACCAGATGTCCGCCATATTTAATTCAATCATAAAAAATTTCGCATGCCGAAGTGAAGTGTAAGCTGACTATGTGGGCCCCAGGTGAAACCGTAGACGGAGTTCGCTGAAGGGCGCGGCCCGCGCGAGGGGCGCGAGGAAATGGGCGCGTCTCCGCCCGCCACAACCGCGCGCGGAGCTTCCCGCGGGGGCACGATGGGAAGGCAATCGTGATGGGGCGCGCCGCAATGGGCAGGGCGCGCGCGCCCGCGCCCGCCGAGCCCCCCCCTTTGGTCCTGCGGTCCTCGCGAGGTTCCATCCTCCTCCACACTCGTTCCTTCTCCGTTGCATCGCCCCGCCATCCGCCCGCCATTTCGCGCGTCAAGCGGTTGGCTCGCCACCGCGCGCTCTCGCGCCTTCGCATTCCGATAAACTGTAGCGCCCCCCCCCCCCCCATGCACTTGCGCTCGGGGGCACATTTCCCCCAGCGTGGCCGAAAACAAAAAACTGAAGTCGACGTGCGCTTCTGAAGCGGGGGATGCAAAAAAAAAAAA